AATTCCACTTCCCTTCGGCCCCTGCCTGGTCCCTTGGACTGGAGCAGGCACAGAGTCGGTCTGCTCCTGTCCTGTGGAGAAACTGAATCCTGAGTCATCCAGGAGCCACTGCACTCAGAGCAGCTGGTAAGAACTCCATCTCACTCCCTAGGCCCCAGAAATACATCTGGGAGCCAGGGACATCTAGGGCACAGCAGCTACCCAAACCCTGCCCCTCCGGAATTCCACTTCCCTTCGGCCCCGGCCTGGTCCCTGGGACTGGAGCAGACACAGAGTAGGTCTCCTCCTGTCTTGTGGAGAAACTGAATCCTGAGTCATCGAGAAGTCACTACACTCAGAGCAGCTGAAACTGAATTCTGAGTCATCAGGGACCCACTGCACTCAGAGCAGCTGGAGCCACTGCACTCAGAGCAGCTGACACAGAGTTGGTCTGCTCCTGTCCTGTGGAGAAACTGAATCCTGAGTCATCTAGGAGCCACTGCACTCAGAGCAGCTGAAACTGAATCCTGAGTCATCGAGAACCCACTGCACTCAGAGCAGCCGAGGAGCCACTGCACTCAGAACAGAAGGATTACCAGATCCAAGAGGTGGCCTGAGTCCCAGGAGTTCTTCCACCCGGGAGATTAGGGGCATAAGACCACAGAGACCTCTGGACTCCGAGGAGCTCTGCAATAAGCAAGATAACTGGAAATACAGATTCCAATCTTACACAGAGAGGGCAGGTACCACTAGAGTTACCCAGATGGCGAAAGGCAAGCGCAAGAACATAAGCAACAGAAACCAAAGTTTCTTGGCATCATCAGTGCCCAGTTCTCCCAATATAGCAAGCCCTGAACACCCCTTCACACCTGAAAAGCAGGATTCAGAATTAAAATCACTTCTCATGATGATGATAGAGGATTATAAGAAGGAATTAAGTAACTCCCTTAAAGAAATACAGGAGAGTACAAGTAAACAGATAGAAGCCCTTAAAGAGGAATCACAGAAATCCCTTAAAGAAATGGAAGAAAACACAAAGAAGGAATTAAACAAAAACATTCAGGATCTGAAACTAGAAATAGAAACAATAAAGAAAGTTCAAAGGGAGACAACCATGGAGATAGAAAACCTAAGAAAGAGATCAGGAGTCACAGACGCAAGCATCACCAACCGAATACAAGAGATAGAAGAGAGAATCTCAAATGCAGAAGATACGGTGGAAAATATTGACACAGTTGTCAAAGAAAATGAAAAAAGCAAAAAACTCCTAACTCAAAACATCCAGGAAATTCAGGACACAATGAGAAGACCAAACCTAAGGATAATAGGTATAGATGAGAATGAAGATTCCCAACTTAAAGGGCCAGTAAATATCTTCAACAAAATCATTGAGGAAAATTTCCCTAACCTAAAGAACAAGATGCCCATAAACATACAAGAAGCCTACAGAACACCAAATAGACTAGACCAGAAAAGAAATACCTCCCGCCACATAATAATCAAAACATCAGATGCACAAAACAAAGAAAAAATACTAAAAGCAGTAAGGGAAAAAGGTCAAGTAACATATAAAGGCAGACCTATAAGAATTACACCAGACTTCTCACCAGAGACTATAAAAGCCAGAAGAGCCTGGACGGACATCATACAGACCCTAAGAGAACACAATTGCCAGCCCAGATTACTATACCCAGCAAAGCTCTCAATCAATATAGATGGTGAAACCAAGATATTCCATGACAAAACCAAATTTGCACAATATCTTCCCACAAACCCAGCACTTCAAAGGATAATGGATGGAAAACGCCAACACAAGGAGGGAAACTACAACCTAGAAAAAGCAAGGAAGTAATCTTCCAACAACCCCAAAAGAAGATAACTATACAAACATAACTTTACCTCTAATAACAAAAATAACAGGAAGCCACAATCATTTTTCCTTAATATCTCTTAACATCAATGGTCTCAATTCCCCAATAAAAAGACGCAGACTAGCAGACTGGATACACAAACAAGACCCAGAATTTTGCTGCATACAAGAAACACACCTCAGTGACAAAGACAGACACTACCTCAGAATAAAAGGGTGGAAAACAATTTTCCAAGCCAATGGTCCCAAGAAACAAGCTGGAGTAGCCATTCTAATATCAAATAAAATCGACTTCCATCCAAAATTAATCAAAAAAGATAAGGAAGGACACTTCATACTCATCAAAGGAAAAAGCTACCAAGGTGAACTCTCAATTCTGAACATCTATGCCCCAAATGCAAGGGCACCTACATACATAAAAGAAACTTTACTAAAGCTCAAAACACACATTACACCTCACACAATAATAGTGGGGGATTTCAACACCCCACTCTCAGCAATGGACAGATCATGGAAACAGAAACTAAACAGAGACACTTTGACATTAACAGAAGTTATGAACCGAATGGACTTAACAGACATCTATAGAACATTTCATCCTAAAACAAAAGAATATACCTTTTTCTCAGCACCTCATGGTACCTTCTCCAAAATAGACCATATAATTGGTCACAAAACAAGCCTCTACAGATACAAAAAGATTGAAATAATCCCTTGCCTCTTATCAGATCACCATGGAATAAGACTGGTCTTTAATAATGACAAAACCAATGGAAAACCCACGTGCACATGGAAACTGAACAACTCTCTACTCAATGATGACTTGGTCAAGGAAGAAATAAAGAAAGAAATTAAAGACTTTTTAGATTTCAATGAAAATGAGGACACATCATACCAAAACTTGTGGGACTCCATGAAGGCAGTGCTAAGAGGAAAACTCATAGCTCTAAGTGCCTACAAAAAGAAACTGGAAAGAGCACACACTAACAAGTTGACTGCACAACTAAAAGCCCTAGAACAAAAAGAAGCAAATACACCCAGGAGGAGTAGAAGGCAGGAAATAATCAAACTCAGGGCTGAAATCAACCAAATAGAAACTGAAAGAACAATACAAAATATCAATAAAACCAGGAGTTGGTTCTTTGAGAAAATCAACAAGATAGATAAACCGTTAGCCAGATTAACCAGAGGGCACAGAGAGAGTATCCAAATTAATAAAATCAGAACTGAAAAGGGAGACATAACAACAGAAACGGAAGAAATTAAAAAAATCATCAGATCCTACTACAAA